GCTTTCATCATTGCAAAGTGTGTAGCAGCATGACGATTACTTGTTCCAGAGAAGGATCTGCTGTTGTGCTACAGTTTGTCAGTGATGTCAAGGTAGGAACCAACACTTTGTATTGCAAAACCGAGCACCATATATGTATATATAATATGTTATGACTGAGTTTCTGGCAAAAATTGGATAAGTTTGTTATTTATTCAATTATTTGTTCATTACTTCTATTTTCTTCACAAATTCACAAAACAGTCAGGTTTATAGTCTGCACTTTCCTTTAGAAGATTGGCACAAAAAATAGCATATTTAAAATAAAATCATTAAAATTAGCGGAAATTTTGTCTGTTGGCTCCAAAATTAGGGTTCATTTCCAAGAAATATTGAAGAATATAAGAAAAAAAAGGCAGACAAATTTGGGCGAGAAAGCCTGGTGGTGAAAAGGCTAGAGTATATTAAAATATCTCTAAAACATCATCTTTATTTATGTACAATTGTTCAAAACAATAACTATACTTTGAATGGCCATGTTGTAACACATTTATATCATAGATGGGCTTCACCACTAGAGGGCGCTACTTATAGAAAAAAGTATCTTGAAAGTGTATGGCGTTCCATGAAGTGTGTCCCATTGCATGCTATGTACTCCCAACTCACCATATAGTTTGTACAGATTTACACTTTTTAGTCCCCGTTTGGACGAAGTCCGAAAACGGGGACTTATGTTTTGACCTTGTGTGTGCCGTGTGTGCGTGCGTGCGTCCGGACTGTATCTTAGAAATGCCTGGACCAATCACAATCAAACTTCACATATACATCATACATGGTATCATACATATGCACGTCAATTTGTTTCAAGATCTGATTCAAGATGGCCGAATAGCGGCCATTTTCGTGCTAAAAATCATCAAAATCAAGCATTCCCCGGCTGTTTACAGATGGATTTTGTTCAAACCTTGTATATGCGTTGGACATTATAGGACCTTGATGAACATCATTTTGTTTTACGATCTGATTCTAGACCCATAT